GCACAAAGCTCACTAGCTCTCCGGGCTGACGTGATAGCTACAAGGAACGCCGTCTTCCACGAAACTAATCGGAGATCCACAGTCGCCAAAGGTTCAAAGGGGGCCCTCATAAGGGCCTGTAGAACTACAGAAAGGCTCCACGTGGGCATAACCGGTCTAATCAATGGATTGAGGTTATACAGTCCTTTCAAAAATCTCTTTAGAATAGGATGAGAAAACAGGGATGATCCATCGACTAAGCCACGGTAGTAGGCTATTGCGGCCGTATACACTTTAATAGAAGACGGCTTCAGTCCGGAGTGATGCAACTCCAGAAGGAACTGAAGAATTTGATCAATTGATGAGACAAGCGGGGAGAACGAATGAGACTCGGCGAAGGCGGAAAACCGCTTCCATTTAGCTGTATATGACTTTCTTGTGGACGGCTTTAGAGCAGCGTCGATAATATGCTGAATCTCAGGGTGCAAGAGCGTTGGATTCGAATCCGACGGGGTTTGAGCCGAACCCGATGGTATAGAGAGATTGTGGCAGTGAGAAGCACCCGCATAGTTGGACTCGAGAATCGGGGCCGAAGCAGTCGAAGTGATCGTTGAAACCGATGAATTAATAGAAGCTGTAGGATTTGAGGGTCTCGAATCCGTCGCTGGCCCCAATGGAAGGTTAATCATCGAATTCGCCACGCTGTCAGATTCAATGAGAGCAAATCCGGATGACGAAGTGTGCCGTCCATTTGTCCTCTCGTCGAATTCGATGGATATGGCGAGCGAGAGTCTGTTGCCTGTCCTGAGGAAGGAAGGCTTTTTCCAACGTCGAATCTAGGCGAGCTCCAATGAAGGTGATCGTCTGTGTCGGAAGAAGAGAAGATTTTTCTGTATTAATACGTAGACCCAGACTATCTAGTAAGGCACGGGTTGTATGGATGGTGTCTAGTAGTCCTTCTCTGGATTGCGAGACTAGCAGCCAGTCATCAAGGTACGGGTAAACTTGTATGCCCTGAAGGCGTAGGAAGGCACAGACAGGAGCCACACATTTGGTAAAAATTCTCGGAGCTGAAGCCAGTCCGAAGGGTAAAACTTTAAACTCATAAAGTTGGTTTGCAACAGCAAAACGAAGGAAACGCCAGTAATTTGGATGAATTGAAATATGAAAGTAGGCGTCCTTCAGGTCCAGTGAGGCGAACCAATCCCCTCTCCTTAACAACGGCAAGATGTTCTGAAGGGTGGTCATACGGAACTTCCTCGGTATAATAAACTTATTCAAGTCCCGTAAATCCAAAATCGGACGTAGACCGCCGTCCCGCTTGGGGACTGTAAAGTATCTGGAATAGAATCCGTGGAGTCCATCAGATGGGAATACTTGACGAATCGCTCCTTTAAGGAGAAGTTGATGTATTTCGTCGAGAAGTACCGGCGAACATGAAGTGGACCGGATTGGACTCGATGGAGGGATGATGTCGAATTCTATTCGATAGCCGTATTGAACGATGGACAATACCCACCGGTCAGATGTGATGGACTCCCAAATGGGGAGTCGGCTTTGGAGCCGGTCCCCAGATGAGAGGGGGGTGGGTATTAAAGGAGCGTGAGGAGTGGTTCGCCAGTCCCGTCAGCGCTGTCTCCGGTCGTCGAAACGACGGCGGCCCTGTTGGAAGCGCTGCTGGGGCGGAGGACGGCGACGCTGCTGTTGTTGCTGCTGGCGAGGTTGTGGCAGCTGTCTCTGTTGGTATGGCTGCCTGTAGGATGGCCGATTCCAGGACCACTTACGTCTGGTATGTGACTGGATCTCCATCCTGCGCGCTGTCACTCTTGACTCATGTAGCTTCTTGAGTTTATGGTCGGTGCGCGAATGGAAGAGTCCCGAGCCGTCAAAGGGCATCTCTTCTATTCGCCGCTTCGTTTCCTCCGGGAAATTACAACTCCGAAGCCATGCGTGTCTCCGAAGGGAAACGGCATCGACCAAGGCCCGGGAGTCAGTGTCCACGTGATGACGTGCCGTAGACAACTGCTGCACCGCGACCTGCATGGCTTCCTTAATCAGGACCTTCGCAAGGTCACCCTGGTGGTTCGGGAGGGTGGAGGCGACGTTGTGGAGGCGTTGCATAATAAAATATTGATAGCGCGCCAACGTCGCCTCATAGTTAGAAATGCGAAGTCCTAAGCCCGAGGCAGCATAGACCCGTCTGGCCAGGGAATCTATTTTCCGGCCCTCCTTATCCCTCGGCGCCGTATGTCCGCTCGCCTCCCTGCCTTGCGAGGATTCGACGACTGCCGAGTTTGGTTTTGGGTGCTTTAATAGGAAGGGAATGTCTTCTTCCCTGACCCTGTACATAGATTCATATCTCCTAGACGTCGGCTGGGGATGTGAAGGCAGGTCCCAGGGCTGCGTCATCGCCTGCCGCAGAGTAGTTATAAGTGGCAGGACGATAGAAGTCGATTGCTCCCCGCGGACGACGTCGTAGAACTTATCCGTCGACGGTCCCGGGCGCTGGGCAGCGTCGATGTCCAGGGACTGGACAAGCCTCGACATCAGCTCCGCGAAGGAGACGTGTGACTCATCAGGTGACGCAGGATCCTGGGATGTCACCACGACGTCCGGAGAAGTTGAATCTACGTCAGAGTCATCCGAATCAGCACCATAATATGGCGGGGCAGAAGATGACGACTCCGCCGGTGATAAGGAGCGGCTGCTTCCGCTTCGCGGGGATCGAGGCGGCACCCTCCTCGAATCCACAGCCCGGGGCGGAGGTGAGGATCGCGCTCTGGGAGCAGGGTAGTATCCCACAGAGAGCGGGTCTCCCCAAGGTTGGTAGTACGGACGACGCCAACTCTCCGGGCGTTGTTCTACCGAGCGGCTCCTCCGATTCCCTGGTGGGGACAGGCCAGCTTCTGTCTCCAATGTCACCGCGGGCATCGGTGTCGGTGACCTCGCTCTGGGAGGGGAGTCCTGAATTTCCCCGTCCGAGATAGACCCCCGTAGAATTGGAAGGGGTGCTGGCGGGAGGTCAACCACATGTCGGGGAGACCCCTGAGGGGTGACCCGCATAGCCTCTTGGAGGATCAGTTCGGGCGGGGTCGGTATCGTAACCGCCACCGGTACCGAAGGGCCTGTCGGTCCCGAGTCCCGATCTTGGGGACGATCTGTAGGCTTAGCCTTCTTTGGAGGCTTAGAGGCCTTTTCCTTTCTGGCCTTCTTATGGCCTGCCGGCTTGTCCTCAGCATGTTTGCGCTTCTCATGCCTCTTTTTTGGTGAGGCAGAGGGGGCCAGCGAAGCGGACGCGCCTTCGTCCGAAGGGCATGAAGGAGGCACAGAAGCGGAGCCCGGTTTTGGGGTAGGGATGAGCGGGTCTGATTGCATCAGAGCCCTATCCCAAAGGAGCCTCCGAAGCCGGTTTTCGCGGTTCTTCCTAGCCTGTTTAGAGAAGGCTAGGCAGTGAACACACTTATCCGTCCTATGCCCTTCCCCAAGGCAGAGGAGGCATAGGTCGTGCGGATCGGTTGGTGCCATCTTTGACCCGCAATCAGCACATTTGCGGAAAGCCGCCCGCTGCGCCATCGCAGAAAGAGGAAGAAAAGAGAGATAGTGCAGAGGGTAAGTATATATTTTTTTGATTTTTTTTTTTTTTTTTAAATCGAAGAAGTGAGAGAGAACTACACAACGGGAAAAACGAAGTAACGGGAAAGTAGTTTAAGGGCAATATATATAGAGAGAGAACCAGAATGGCCAAAGCGAAGGACGAAAGCGGCGCGAGGCACAGCGAACGGCGGTCGCAAAGACTGAACAAATGGCGGACGCTCCGCTCTTTATAGCCTGTGGGGGAGGGGAGCGGAGCTTCCCGCCAAAAACCGTTAGCTTTCAATCTTCCGGCCAAAGGCACTGCGCAGGCGCAGCACCCATATGTGTGATGCACAGAGGCCACGACGAAGAACTACAATATTCTCAGAAGATTAACTGACAACTCATATTTTGGACAAAAACACTGTAAGCCTTTTCAGACTAATATCTTATATATTAACCACATAATGAACTGTTACCATGAGGTCTCAATTTGCATAGGCATAATCTATATCTCTGATTTCTATTTTACATGTAGAATCTACATGCAAGCCATAATCAGTTACATCTTCTATAAGAAAGGTATTTCTGGAAATCTAAAATGGAAGCAAGTGCAGCTGAATTTAAGCACATATCTGGAAACTCCTGATGAAGTGTGCACACAAATCTAGTTGCAACTGTAGCTGGATCTGACATTGTCAGCTCCTTGTATTGAGAAAAACAGTATTACTTTCCTAAATCTAAATATAAATAGCATAGAAGTATATGGTGATACATTCAGAAAAACTACTAACAAGAACTTTGGTATGGGTCCAAAACATTGCATTAAATCCATTAAGAGTTGGGCTTTACTACTCCAAGCATTACTTGATGTGCTGCAGTGCTTTATGGTCCACACAAAAATATTCCAAGCCACAGCAATTCACCTCACCAATGTCAACAATTGGGAAATGAGGTTTCTCATCACTGCTGGAAAACTGCAAGAACCACCTCTGATCCATTGTTCTGCATTAAAGTACAACTGCACATCAACAGTTCAAAGCTCGACAACATGTAAGGCAGTGACCTGGTTTACATGATCACCATGGGATAAGCAAGCCATGATGTGTGCCAGGCTTGGCCTGAGTGTTCTAAAGACTTCAGTAGTTGTCTGGACAACCCTCAGTCCATGGGTGGTTGTTGACTTGTTTAACTCATGGTGAAATGCAAACTGGCCCAGTGGTTTTAAATTCTGACTCATGTTATCTGAAATATTTGTTGCTGAACAACTGAAATGCAGTGTCAATAGCCCAAGTTTTTCCTAATGATTCTTCAGCTACCATTCAGAAACAACGAGAAGTGGTAAGACATGGTCTTCACAAACAGGAAATTCCAAGTGCTATGTTTTTGTTGCTGCTTATTTTAACATTACCAATTATTGTTCAAATGGAAATATGAACACACAGAAATGTGTTTCATAAGGGTTTTATTAACATAAAATTACTGTAGATGAAGCTTTCATTATATTTGGGAAAAGGGACATAAGAGACAAAAATGAAAATACCAACTAATTCTACAGGCAAGTTTAAGATAGTCCCTCTCAGTTTCAGAAAAAGGGGGGGGGGGGGGGGGGTGTAGAAATGACGCAAGGGCGATATTATTTTCAGACTGCTTTCTAAGGGCATGGCTTCCTCATTAAAAACAAATTCCAAGAAAAATATATTTTGAAATGTGGCTTACCAAAACAGTAAAAGACATTTGAACCTAAAGTGCCAAACTGTTGATAAGTGCAAAAATTCTCACTGCTTAATTGAAACGCCAAACTGTTTGCAGAATGTTTACAATGCAGCCAAGTTTTGTACTAGATACTTCTCCACTAGCACTAGAGAAATGTGAAAGAGTACTGTGAGCAGAATACATTCATGACTGAGAACAAATTGGTACTTTTTAGTCATTATCCTCAAAATTCCTCCTACTGGACTCACTTCACAAAGTTAATTGACAAACATAGCCCATTTCATCCTTTAAAATGAACAGAAGCAGGAAGACTATTCATGAATGCATTCCTCAAGACCAATTGGGATAGTTAATTCTTAAGAACATTCAAAGTAGCATTTTTCTCTAAGCAAACCTATCTTCAAGTGTGTGAGTACAAATCCATTTCTGACAGAAGTATTCAGTCTGGACAGTGCAAAAAACGCCCCACAGGGTAGAAAGGTGAGCAGGAATGAGGCATTAGTGCACCTCAAGCTTTGCCCCATATATTTATATTTTCTTTTACACAAAGGCTAAAAATGTATAAGGTCAATAATTCACACCTTTTTATGTACCCTAGATTCATTTACTCTCCACTTTCCTTTACAAAAAGGCAATTGCCTTAGAGCCACTCAGGGTTGAAACCCATCATTGTTTGGGACAAAAGAACATTGTATGTACAGTTTAAAATTTAAAGTAATATGAAAAGAGAAAATATTAAGCTTTACAACAGCCAAAACCAAAGGTATATTTTTGCAATGGACCAGGACAGTGATTGTTTCAAAGAAGGATGGGTATTTACTAAAGATACAGTTTGGTATTTTGACCAAAGTAAAAAGGATTGTATTTCATAATTCAAATGTACAACATGTAAGTACATATACATGCAGCAAATAGATCCCTCTTTAAACAGGAACTGTTCCATACATAAAGAAATTAATTTAATGTGCTTGTGGGCTAGAAGGCAGAGTACATAAACATTCTGACATTTCAAGTCTTCAGAAGAAAGATATCAAATAAATGCCAGTCTCAAATGCAATTTTTTCTCTTCTAGACATGAGACAGAGAAGGGTTAAATAGATAGAATATAGTTGAAGGTTAACATTCAGTTCAAAAGCGAAATATTCTTTGTACTAGCAATCTGCTCTAATTCAAGGGCTGGAAGGAATAACAAACTGTCACAAGTAAGAGCACTCTGAACTGGAGTTCTAGCTGGGATTGAGCAGCTCAACTTCAATTCATCCCCAGTTTCTCCCCAGTCCTCTGCTTTGGGCTTCTTGGCCTTCTGCTGTGTGGAGTTTAGATGACAGGTGCTCCAAAGCATTTCCTGCACCACTCAACATTGCCACTGGGTGGAGTATCTATCTTCTGCAACTTACAGAGCACCTCTGCTGGAAGGTTTTTATATGCAGCTCTATATTCGTTGTCAAAGGCCTCTGCAAATAACAAGAGCGGAGCTTGAGTTGTGGGCAGAGACTTTGTGGAACTAGAATTTATTTTTCCTTAAACCTTTTAGTTCCCCGCAACACATGTTTCCATTCACTATCAAGCCCTTAATAATCAATCAAAATTCTCTTCAGCAGCTACAGATCAAACGTCTTTGGGTTACAGACAAAAACCAAGCACTTGAGAAGCTGGCAACTTGTTTTGTCTGCTCTGTTTTAGTAAGCCATTCACATGCAGGCTACAATGTTCTAGAAGAGTCTGGTTTTGTTTAAGGCTATCGAATATCTAGCAATTATTTCACATCAGCTGAAGCCAAAATACTGAACATGACTGGTTATGCTTACGGGAACCCACAGTGCCCGGACCAATATGCAAACGCTGTGCTCTTCTTTCGGCTATTTGCATGGCAAATAAGACTGCATGCGCGCGCGCACACACACACACACACACACACACTTACCAATGTCAATATTCTCTCTCCCAAGGGACACCAGGGATAGGAAAAGGATTTCTCTGTAAAAACTCCTATGAAAGATACATGTAGACATTAAGGCAAGTTCAGCCCTAGGTATAATCATGTTGCCAGTATACCTTTCCATAGAACTGGTTTGAATTGGATGTCTTAGCAGTAAGTGTCCCTGCAAAAGGGCTTCATAGGCCAAATAGTCACACATTTTCTTCAGGTGAAATGGTCTACAGTTCATCAGTACAGACCCATCTGCATTGTGCTGACCAACAAAAATCCCTCAACTTATCTTTGGGTAATGTGGGCCAGAAGCCTGAAAAGGCTCTGAATGCCAGTTTGCATATTTTATTCTGTTTACTGAGACTTACAGCTGTCTTCAGAATGGTTAAAACTGCAAAAAAGTAAACTCACTAGATTTGCACGGTAGGTTCCAACATCACCACATGCTTTTACATTTTGCTGCCTTGTCATGACCATCTTTGTCTCCATGTTTTAACTTCCTTACTGATTTTATACAGTTACATGTATTTTATATTGTTATTTATGTATTTTATTTATTTGTAAGCTGCCCCGAGGCTTTGGCAAATGGGGCGGCCTAGAAATTTTCTAAATAAATAAAATAAAGTAACTGTATACACCAAACTGGACTCACATGTCAGTACATGCCTCTTAATGCAGCAAAATCCCATCTTCACAAACTGTTCCATGCTCCTATGCTAAGTAAGCACAGCTAAATAAAAACAGCAATTGCCCGTTCTCTTTCTATGAAGTAGGTGGTACTGCTCTTTACCTTTGTCGTTTCCCATTGTGTTTAATGTTCTGCACAAGGAGATTGATAGGTTTAATAACTTCATTTTGTTGAATATGCAATTTGATATTTTCAACTAAAGTGCTTAAGGCTTGTTGTTCTTCTGAATTTACGGAGGGCTTTTTCTCTGTTGAATCTGGAAGAGGAAAAAATATACATTAATAAGACTAAGGAAAGTGAAAGCACTCATTAAGAGACTGATATGCAACATGGATAAGAGTAGAGAAAAGGAGGTAGGGAAAGTGTGGAAGGAAGGCTGAGAAGCTGAACAAAGAGGGCAACAGGAGAAATAGAGAGGACCTTTTGTAAGAGCAAAGGAAAAGTAGCATTGACACCAGCTTGGTTCAGACAATCACCATAGTTTAGATAAACTACACTAGATATTCAAAAAAAGCCTAGCATGGGCTTGATGGGTTGTGATGTGTGCCAGGTGGTTTTTGAATATTTTTGTCTGAACCAAGTCAAGGTGGCTTGAGCAAGAGTTAAACAACCCTGGCATAACCCAGGCCCTGTTTATGAAGGTTGTTTAACCTTGCAGAATCACTCTCACTAGATCCAGACAACACGAGTCACAGTTGAAGTTCATCTGCCCATGTTGCAACCCACCTTCGCTTAAATAAGTCATGGTGGGCTGTTCAAAGGTGTGAACCATCCCATCATGTTGTGGCACTCCCAAGATTACATTGCCATATTGGCTGTGGCTGACATACGGTTTCTAAACTACTAGCAGTTAAGATGCATGATACTTAAAATGTTGTGTTGCCCCAGTGTTAGCCTGTTGAGATTGGTCCCTACTGTCACAGGTTTATAGCTGCAGACTATGACTTGCTTGATGGCTGAAGTCCAGATCAGTATGCAGCTTAAATCTATTTCAATCTGCAGTTTAAATCTACTGCATTTCAAATAATAGCAGCAGAACAGAAAAAG